CACCCAGGTGGATATACAACTCTCTCCACTCAGTGGTCTCACATTAAGCAGCATAATTTTTGACTAAGTGGATTCCCACTAGAGTAGAGTAAAGTGGATTCAACATCTGTTTGGTTGGATAGCAAACTAGAAGGAGAAGCAGTCTCAAAATGTTCGCTCCCCCTTCTCCTCTACTGGTCAATTCTATCTCCCCTACTGTACCCCCCTTGGTTACAACTGAAACAGCAACACTCCTACTCCCAACTCAAGAGGTCAGATATACGGTGGTGCCTCCACTTACAATCATAATCCGTTCCCGAAGATGGACGTAAAGCGAAGCACCATTTCCCATAGGAATTCATTGAAACCCCATTAATCTGTTCCAGCCAAAGAAAAAAAATCACCAAAAAAAGAGATCACTGCAAGAGTCATTGGATACGCAATTAATCCCTTCCAGGGGCGGGGGGAGAGAAAAGCAATCAAGCCTGCATGTACAGAAAACAAACGGAGCGGATTGGAAATGCACAGAGAACAGAGGGACAAGGTCGGAAATGAAAAGGAAAAAGCAAGGGAAGCATGCAGGACCCATCAGAAATGGGGGAAAAACCCCCAGAAAGCAACCAAGCCCCCAAGACCCATCGGAAATGGGGGGAACCCAAAAAACAAACAAACCCCCAAAGACTCATCACAGCACAGAAACATAACCCCCCCAGCCTAAAACCACACTGCAAAAACACCCAGACGTTTTTAAAAAGCAGAAAACAGCACCTTACCTCCCTGCAAGCACACACACGCTCACTCTGAAGCAGAAGGAGGCAGTCCTAAGCCTGCAACCACAACACACTCTCTAACGGCTGAGGCAAAAGAGCTACAAAAAGCAGCCTTGTCGCCACCTACAGTTAGCAATTTGAATTTCCTGCCTTTTTCTGTTCGTAAATGGAAGCTCCAGTCGCAAGTAGAAGCAAAATTGTGCGGCCGGAGCTGGCTGTAAGTCAAATTGTTCGTTAAGTCGGGACGTTTGTAAGTGGAGGTACCACTGTACTTAGAGTATTACCCTTAACAAGCCATGACTAATTTAGTAGAGCAAATTAGTAACTCCCATGTCAAGTTCTAGGCTTTCACTTTCCGTTTCTCAATAGACTAAAGTTACACAATACACAACATACAGGTTTGTGGAGGAATGCCCCTCCCCAAAGTTGCTAAGCTGTTGGCTGATTCTACAGTAGTAGAGAACACTCTCCTGGATGACGTCACAGCTGCTTCTGAGAGGAGGTGTGGCTACCCATTCTTCCTCTTTCTCATAGTGATAGGGAGCTAACTTCAAAAACCTTTCATTTGAGCCAGTCCTGATGGCATTATGTAACCACTGTCCTATCTGTAAACTGTCAACTATCTGTGAGCTTGTAAGGTTAATAAAACTCAGTCCTCCTAGGACTCCTGGACAGGGCAGTCTTATTCAAGATCCTCTTCTAGTCCACCATCAGGAGCACTGCTGGAAGACATAATTCTGTGTGTGTGGCTGACTTCTTTAACTTCTCTCTCTAAGATTATTTGCTATCCTAATTACTTGTGACTACATAAACTATCAGCTTTCTCATTTTGTGCCCCTACACAGGTTGAACAAAACTGTTAGTGTAGTTTAAGAGATTCCTCCCTGCCTTACCAAAAACAGAGGGATTTGGTAAGGCAAAGAGGTAACATAAGCAGGACAAAATGGCGCACAGGAAAATGGTGTGCTGGTCAAATTGGCTAAGATTAAGCCCTTAGTTATGTAGTTCAAGGGCTCTACCACCTGTATTCATACTGCCAGTTTAGTACCTTCCATCCTCTCATTTCTCCTGGGCACTCTCCCAGCTACAATGCCTATGTAAATGACCTGGATGATTACATATGGGTGAGTGGGGGATATTCCAAGTATGCATGTGCATTAAGTTTATGATTTGCACCATTTCTCAAAGAATTGGGTGGGAAGCTCTGATTTAAATCAGGGGATTGTACTGATTTAGATCAGTCCACCCTGCTTACCAGGAATATACCTGTATTTTCAGATTTAAGGTTAAATTTTTGTCTTCATCCTCCCTGTGCCCAGTGTTGCCTCCAGGTCACCATTTCAGCCTCCCTGGATTGTGCTGGAAAGGTCAGAGCTGGGTGTCATCTGCATCTCGTGGGACCACATTCCAGATCTCCGGACAACCAATCTCAGCAGATTTATGCAGTTCTTAAACAACACAGGGAACAGAACTCTTGGGGTGCCATAAATCAGTACCACCAACCCGGTGCCTCCAGATGTGTTGGACTACAGCTCATAATCTCATGGACAGATTGGGAAAGATTGTCATAGAAGACTGCTGAAGGCATTAAACCTTCAGAGACAGGGCAGTGCGGTGGACAGAACACTGGACTAGTGCGCCAGAGACCTGGGTTTAAATTTCCAGTTACTCACGGAAACTCACTGGGGATGGCAACGGTAAACCAATTTTTGAACATCTCATATACTGTGAAAAACCCTATTAGGGATGCCTTAAGTCAAGCAACCTGATAGAACATAAAAATAACTACCACTCTTTGTAAGAAAACTCTCCAACGGAAGTATGAAAGTATGGCCCCCATCTCATTTCAGGAAGTTGGCTGAGAAAAATACAAAGTAATTAATGGGAGGTCCAGCAGAAAAGAGATACGTTCCCCATTTCTACATTTTAGTGTAGACAATCCACAATAATGACCAAGGCTGCTTCTGCATCAGAACCAGGGTGGAGCAGGAATGAAATGAATCTAAATGATCTTGATCTTCCAGATACCTAAGTCTTGGCAAGTCACCACATGTTTCAAGAATGAAACTGGTTAGAAACTGCCTAGCACACCAGGAATAAGAGAGTGCTTTTTTTTTCGTAATCCTCGTCACAAAGCAAGCTCTAAAATGAGCTCTAGCAGTGCTTGAGAGTTCATCGTGCATGTTCCATTACCATAACACTACCACTCTCATCAATTCGTGGTTGTTGTTCTTCAGAATAGCAGGGGGCCAGGTTTGCTTTACAAATAATTCAGAACCAGCATCACCCACATGGGTCACTGCCTTACTCCAGAGGTCAACCAAGGTAACAGGAAATTATCCAACAGGCATTCAGATACAACACTCTCCTAAAATCAACCACCCTAACAGATCTACTGAACCTGCAGAGCTTACAGAGTACAGAAATATGACACATATCCACTTCTGATGTATACATAATAAAGGAAACGTTACTAAACTGTTGCACAGTCAGATTACAAGGGAGGGAGGGAGAGGGAACCCTCACAAGTCTAAGAAGGGCCCAGCTGAACGTGTAGGGCCAGAAATCACTTGCAAAGGGGCCCCAGTTGCCTTTGTGACTATAACATCCCAAGTCACTCTCAAGTGGAAAACCTAAACGCAGATACTTGTGCTCCTCGGCACAATTTTTCTGGGAGACTCCAATATCATTCCCAGATACCATCCTAGCTAGCTCATGAATGCTGGCTAAGAAGATTTAAGACAAGCCACCGTGCATCAAACAGAATGAATGAGTGGCATTTCTACAGGAAAAGATTGCTTCCTGGGGACTTCTTTAACTCAGTAGTGAATTAATTAAAAATGGGTGAATGAGAACGATAATACCACAGAACACAAAGTCTTCTTGAAATGTGAGGAAGGCACCCACTATACAGGCATAGTGCACAGAAAAACCCGAACCTTTGTTTAAGACTCAGTAATCTGCATAAGCTAACCCTCTTAAAATGTAAAAAAAAAAAGCTAATTGACACCAGGTTTTTTTTAAAAAACTCTCCATAAACAAGATAACAATATCAGAACAAACAGAAGGTAAAGGCACCATGTTGGATAGGGTAAGATACTCCCTCAAGACAGAAATAAGTATAGCTGAGTGTAAATAACTGAAATGTATTACCTGCTTAATACTATTACATTACACAATAGATCTTTTACAGCAGGGATGAGCAACCCTTCCTGGTCTGGAGGCTCAGTTCCAATTTGGGAAGGGTTTGAGGGACTGCTGTCCATCAGAGGGGTGGGACAAAGATAAGGTGGCAAATCCAAAAGAAAGGAGGCAGGACCAGACACCTAGTTGGAAACACACCTCAATGCAATTGATTTCAAGCCTGCAAAGCACAGCTTGCTTCTTTGAAGGGTAATATAAGTTCAAATGATTTCAGAGACAGCCGCAGAACCAGCTTGTATACTGAATGGGACACCCCCATGTAACACATTCTGCCCATTCCTGTTCCAGGAACATGAATTTAAGTCACACAAGAAAGCACAAAAAAGCAAAAAGACATCCACTGCCTATTAGTTTTGTGAATGCAAAGGAAAGAAGCAGCAAAAAGGATTTAAGTTGTACACTTTAGTAAAGACTATACATAAACAGAACCATGTTCAAAATAATTACCAGTACTTAATGCACCATCATACCTTTTGACTGATACAGGAAACAAAAGTAGGGTGTTAGTAATTAATTGTACAGCATCTCAGTAATTAAAACTAGAATCATCAGGTACCACTTGGAAGTATTAGATTTAAAAGTTACTGTTGGAGCACAGTGCAGCAACAATTTGACACATCTGGCAATTTCTGCGTATTTATAAACAATTTTCACTTTGAAAATGTAAGAACATCCAGTATTTGTTAGGCGTGCTCTGTACACAATTCTACATTTCAAGTTAGAATAGCTTAGCACCACTTATATTTTTCTAGATGGGGATGCAAGTATATAAAGATAACATATATATCTCTTATAAGACTGAGATAATTTAACCGAATTTGTTGTGTCTTGTTACAAAAGTAATATTGCAACCATAATGAAGATATCCACAGTAATACCTTTCAAAGTAATGAATAAACAAAGATTGATTCAGCACAGAATTGATTATACATTGTCATTCACTACAATTTATTAATCTATTCTAAAAATTGTCTCACCGACTTTGAATTTTAAGTTAAACACAATCTAGTTTTCTAACATAAGAAGGAAAAAAACCATGTTACTCACTGCAACTTGTGCTGAATCCATGAATCGTAGTCCAAAGTAGTCACTTTCAATGAGGTCCAGATGATACATGATCTGCTCAAACAGATGCTGTCCTTTAGCCTTTTTCTGAGATTGCAAAAGATATTTTGTATTACTAAGAGGAAGATTAGTTGCTCATTTACTTTTTTCTGAAGCCAATTCTGTTTGAGAAACTTTTGCTACACATATATACACACACAGTGCGTAAGCAGACATGTAAACCACTCCTAAACATCCATTTTGTTTAATAATGAATTATTGCTGATTGCAAAAATTGTACAAGGGAGGAAAGCAATTAATAATGATGTTAATACTTCAATAACTAAAGTTTTGTTAAACGTAATAGTCTTTAAGCCTGTAACATGCTACATGCTGTTTTGGTTTACTTGCAAATAACCTTCTATATGCTTTATTAAAGATCCTTGAAAGTTGTTAATAAAGTAAAACAAAATAACGAAAGAATATAGTGGGGAAAAGCTGCTCAGTGGAGAAACTTAGTATTTAAAAAAAATTTTTTGCACTTTTATATCATAGCGTTCATCCATATTGCTACTAGCTTTATTTTTCCTATTTTTGTTTGCTACTGTATTTATTATATTGTCTCTGTTGTTTACATTTTATGGTTTCAATGTTTGTACACAGCTCAAAGAATTTCTTCTACCAAAGAATTAATTTTTTAAAAAATCCTTACTACTCAAATTTAACTTCCTCTGAAATTGACTCAAAATACAATGCATTCCTATTCCTTTCCTCCTTCACAGAAAACCTAAGGGCCATATGCTACTCAGCGTGACTATGAAATAAAATGAGTGGTTTCTGCAAACTCAAACTAACCGAATATGTTGAAAAATAATGGCTGAAATCTTGTTCCCATAACTTTTAAGAGGAAGCTGAAGACCTGTCTCTTTAGGCAGGCCTTCCCTCCTGTCATTATTTAATTCATTTTCACCATCTCGAATCATATTATGTTGTTGCTATATTATACTGTTTTTCTTTTATGAACTTGTTGTTAGCCACCCAGAGTAGACTTCGGTCTAGATGGGAGGGATATAAATAAAATAAAATAAAATAATCAGTTAGGCCACAAAATGTTGATGACACTGTTAAAATCATCCTAACAGTTAACAGCTGTTCAGTAGTTCAAGACTTTCCTCTCCCATTCCCTAGATCCCACATGACCCTCTGGAGAGAGGTTGGAAATGTTTAATTGCTGGGAAAGGGGAAGCAGTGTTGTTGACATCATAACCCTTACATGGTGTAAGTTCTGGCAACAGGATTTCAGCCATTAGTTTGTAAACCTGAAAGTTCCTTGGCACATCAGCCTGACCAGGGCTGAACATGCATCATATTCTCCATCATAAGAAAACAATGAGAGAGAAGGTGGTTGCAAGAGAAAATATAAAACACACACACTCAAAAAGGATGGGGGGAACTGGCTTGACTGAGGTCCTAACAATTTATACTTCATTTTAGAGAGGAGAGCTGAAACTGAGAATTGTATTCTGTGGTGTATGCATTCCCCAACATTAACTCTACAAGAACTGCAAGACACAAGGCTGGAACATTTAAAGACTCTGAATACTTTGGAAATAAAAGAGTTTGTGGGACTTAAATTTATTGACAAGAACTTTCCGGCAACATCCAACTCCTAGAGCTTAAAATATCCCAAAGCAACGGTTGAAACGGAATTGGGAGTCGTGTACCATTACATATCCTTCAGTATAATTTCCCCCCATGACTCTTCTACACAGGAAATAAAGGAACAATTATTTCCCTCCTTGTATTGTGATAGGCAGGATTAGCTCATCTGGCAATAAATTTCCACACTTATCACTGTAATGATAAATTACATTCAGAGGTTAGACTACGTGAACCAGAAGCTACTGATCTAATCAGAGTGCAATATTCTTCTGCTACTGTGTTATGGGCATGTATGGAGTCCAGATTATTTATTCCCTTCTGTAATTTAAACAGGCCCTAGCTACAATTAACACTGATTTTTTGAGCGGAGGGAGCTACTGAAAAATTCACATTTGTGGGTCATTAACAGGAGCTCTCCATAAACATTTCAGAATTCATTAGCATGACATGCAGTCTGTCATCCAGGAGCTCCTGAATGTCCTTGCAGGGGAGTGGCTAAACTGCTACTCCAGGAAACCTACATTCCTAGCTATTATAGGTAAAAGGTAAAAGTTCCCCTTGACAATTTGTCCAGTCGTGTCCGACTCTAGGCGGTGGTGCTCATCTCCGTTTCCAACCCATAGAGCTAGCATTTGTCCGCAGACAATCACAATCCTAAAGGCCAGTGTTTGGTAGCTTTATTTTCAATGCACACAGACACAACAGTTCAACAGGAACTGAAGAGGGCATGAAAACGTTTATGCTATTAATTTTTCTAAGATACTATCATGGTCAATCTTTTTCAACTTCTACTAAAAGCTTTATATTGTACTTGACAAAATGTGGAGTGATCAAATAGATCTTTGCAGGATGATTCAGCAAGTTTGAGGATTTTCATCTATTTATTTATCCTCACAGAGTGAAAGGCTTTCATCCCCCATCATCATATTGTCATAAAATCTGACCTTCGTAACAATAATTAGTTACAATTATCATTACAAATCTCAAACTAGAAGACCTACTGAACTATGTTTCAAAGAAAACTGCTGCTAACTGTCACTCCCTCAAAACTCTCTTACTTAATATTTGGGATTTGTGAACTAGTGCTGGGTCTATTTACTAGCTAGAAACACACACACACACACACACACACAAATAAGCTTCAAGGTTAGAATTTGGAAGAGATAATTAATTGGGAAAGAAGGTTAAGTTAAAAAAGCCTCCTCTGGACATGTCTGCTCCACTCTCCTCTACCAAAGCTGATTCTTCCCCATAGATTTCCAAATAACCCTTGGGTTTCTTCTCTGCATGGATCTACTTAGAATAAAAGTTGGCCCTAAAACCATTACAGCTCTAGATGGAGAGTTCATCTACAGTTCTCTATTTGGTGAAATGGGAACATCTGCATCATACAACAAGCCAGGGATCCATATGAACTCTAGTTTATTGTATATATATTGTATATATACTGTATGACCGCTGTACTCGTGTATAGTCTTACTGTAGAATGCTTTCCTCTTTTGATTTACAGTATTTATTATGTTGTGTAAATGTGAGGAGCTACTCTTCTCTAATTTGTGTCTTTCACAACACACAAGAGAAAGAATAGGTGGTGGAGAGAGGAGAGACTTGCTTAGACACACACACACACACACACACACACACACACACAACAATATCAGAGAAGAACTGGGTCCCACGTTTGCACAATATAATGAAGCTGCGTAGGGAAGCACTGTTCACTATCCTGCCGCACCTATTTTGTTTTGAGAATTATCAGCTTCTTATGCCAGAGGAATCTGACCAAGAACTCATTTGCATGAAACTGCTGTCATAAGAAACCTTTCTATGCATATCCATTCAGTATCAGTAAAAACAAATGAAAGCAAATACTGCATGTTGAACTGCCACCAAAATCAATTGTGTACAAGTGGTTTATAACGCAGCCTCCAACTAACCAAGTGACACTGAAGCAGGTTGACATTCAACAGAATATCAGAAATGTGTTTTTTTAACTACAAATAACTTAAAATACGCCAGAGCCCAAGAAAAAGTTGTTCACAAACACCATAATCACTATGTACACAATTTGTGTTCAATTTACCAAAAGCTAAAGTTTGCATCCACGCTAAGCTTCTCCATATCCTCCTTCCTGAAGACAAACACTAATCTAAACCATTCCCTCCACATAATGGGCAATGACCCAAGAGTAAAATCTTAGCCTGCCAATGACTAACCTTGCCTGAAATTTAAACACTATTTAAACAATTTCCCTTTCACTCTCAAATAACCTAGATCTGTTATGAAATACCCTAAATTTGCCCTCTATGACAAATTTTTCAAGGATATCAATGTTGAAAGCCCCTCTCACAACAAAAGATCCAGTTTCTCTTACTGTATGCATATGGGAAAAGGGGATGGGGCATAGCTACTAAATGCTAAAATCTCAAACGTGCCCACCTACTAGGAAACAACATTCTTGAGGAAACATCTAGCTTGGATGCAGTGAAAACATGAAGCAAGGTTCACAAGCCATGGGAATTCCCGAAAGCCCCCAAGCAACCATTCATTCTCACTACAGTTACCAGAGTGTTTCACCCGCGGTTGCCCCAACTCCCCGCCTGCTTTTTTTCCCATGCCCAACAGATCAAGGAGGTTAAGGACAAAAAAGCACAGTAACTATGATGAAATAGAACATTTTTCTGAAGTCAGAGAGACTTGAACTGAGAACAGAACTCTCTCTTTTTATCTCAAAGCATAGGAAAAACCCTGGGGAAGTAACTCACAAACTCTGCATACTGCAGCAGATGGGGAGGGGACAGGAGAGACACTATTCATTCTATATATATATTCATTCCACCAATTCTGCACTGTAGTCCTTCCTTTGCCAATGTAACAATCAATTCTAATGATGATGGAAGAGGTAGCTGTCCCTCTCAAGTAAAATTCAATTATATGATTATGCTGTTCGATAATTCTCAACCTTGGGTCGCTAGATGTTCTTGGACTACAACTCCTAGAAATCTTGGCCAGCACAGCCAGAGGTGAAGTCTTCTGGGAGTATTAGTCCAAGAACATCCAGGGACCCATGGTTGGGAACCACTGTTGGAGTCTTTAAAAATCATAAACATTTACATTAAGAATGTTCACGAATGTCATGAGTTTAAGTTAGTGCAAGGACTAGGAAGTGTCAGGACACTAGGTCGACTTTTCCGAAACATTAATACAACCAATTTTTTTCAGTTCTTAATTTAAAGCCATTTGTCATCCTCACAAAGAAAATGAGTATAATTAAATAAATTTGCCATTTCCTTAGTTATGAGACAACATCAACATCATACTTGTTAAATGAGCAACGGCATGAAAGAGAAAGAAAAACAAAGATGTAATCTTTACATCCTTGCACTCATTAGGTCAGGATCAGACTGCAGGATTGCAGGTTCCCTGGCCAAAACACCATCTCTCTG